TTCCCAAACAAAAGTTATGGAGCGGTGGCCGCGTATGGGTCGACGGAGTGTCGCGCTCCTGCAATGTGGACCGACGACATCACGAAGGTGGCCGGGAGTCGATGGATGCGGAAGGCGGAACATGGTGGAAGTCTTTGGGAAAGGCCTATATCCAACAGTGTAAAGACACAGGCTGATGGTGATTGATTGATTGAATATAATCTCAGGACAATTCACACAGCGCCATCTAGTCCCATGTTAAGCTATCTAAAGCTTGTGTTATGGGTATTAGATAACTGATAAATATATAGACATATTTCTTTCATAAATACATACATATTATATATAGAAAACATCCAGACCGACACAAACATTCATACTCATGAATACAAATATTTCCGCCGTGCGAGGAATCGAACCCGCGACCGTCGGAAGTAAGACGGTGTGCTAAACCGCTAGACCACCGAGTTCATCGTAATAGTAATAGAATGTAATTATAAAACTGTGGTAAAATCCTTTCTCACTTGACTTCCTGACTTGGCCAAATTCGGGACCAAGATCGAGTGGCGTCAGGGCCCGTAATAGCCGAGATAGGCGGGCAATTTGTTTGCCCAATTAAATCCTACGTGAAAATTGCCCAACCGGTATTAGGGATAGGTAAGGTCGCGTATTCATCACGACAGATTAACAGACAAATCAGATTACTGTTGAATGTAAAGAAAATTGTAATCCTTTCAGATTTTTTTATAAAGTTTATGTTTGAGTTAATTTTGTTTTACTAGTATGACGACCTCGGTGGTCTAGCGGTCTAGCACACCGCTTTACGTCCGATGGTAGCGAGTTCGATTCCTCGCACGGCACAAACATTTGTATTCATGAGTATGATTGTTTGTATCGGTCTGGGTGTTTACTATGTATAATATGTATGTATTTACGAAAAAAAATCTATGCATTTGTATCAGTTATCTAGTACCCATAACACAAGCTTTAGCTAGCTTAATTTGGGTCTAGATGGCGCTGTGTGAATTGTCCTGAGATTATTATTATTATTATTAGTACAACTTAAGAATAGAATAGAAAATCATTTATTCAAATAAACTTAATTTAAGCACTTTTGAATAGTCATAACAATTTGTTTTTTATCTACCACTCGTTCGGAAAGCTGTCTCATCACAAGAAGAACGAGCAAGAAACTTGTGTTGCTCTTTTAAATAAAGATGTTATGTTACACTTTATACAGATATAGTTTTTTTATACACTTGCATCAAAATACGATTGTATCCTCATAACTGGATTCTCGTTCAATCAGTAAAAAACATTCCTGATCTCCAGAACCTCGATTTACACTTGTTTACGCTTTTTCGTGAGACGAGGATCTTGATTATGTAATAAAAAGTGGAGATTCCTGGCTAGTTTCTTTTCCGGGGCATCAGTCACAGGAAATGCTTAGAGTTTCCCTCTCTACCTCAACGAATGTGGTACCTGCACCATGAATCCAGGGAATACTGGAAGAAGTAAGTACCCCTCTAATGAACTGCTACATACATCAGACACCGTTTCCCCCCGTCCAATTCAAACGGGGATCGATATTACGACGGCCTGAGTCGAGGTTCGAACCCCTAGCGGTGCCCTCAGACTAAAGTCGTATCCGTCAGGCAGGAGTTGGCCTTCAGCCGCTCCATAAGTCCTTCCGCGGGTTTGGAATGCCATCTGCACTCGCCCCCTATCGTCCGGTGAAGCTGTAATGGCCAGCTACGGCCAACAGCATTAGAGTGGTCCGAAAAAAAAATCACCTCTGTCTTAGCTGTCCAGGTTGGCTATATTATTATTATATACTAGTTTATACCCGTGGCATCGCTCGCACTGAATCCATTAAATAAATAATATTTTATTTTATATAAAAAGAATCCTATGTTCATTCTAATATCTACAAGAATATGTGTACAAACATTCATGATGATCGGTTCAGTAGTTTTTGCGTGAAAGTGTAACCAACATCTCTACTTTTATACGTTACTAGCTGACCCCGCGACTACGTCCGCGTGGAATTTAACTTTATTTTTCTAAAATATAAGTAGCTTAAGTTACTCCTTATTACATCAGTTACCTGCCAAAAAAAGTCCCGTTAAAATCGGTCCAGCCATTTCAGAGATTACCCGGAACAACCAGGCAGACAAAAATTGTAAAAAATGTTATTTTGATGTATGTACCTTATATATATCCATATGCATGTAGTAAAAAACGGTTATTTCAATATTACAAACAGATACTCCAATTTTATTTATGTGTATATATTTAATAAGGAGTTTTACTTAGTATATGAAAAGTCGTATAAAATTGTAACTTTTATTAATTAAATTTTGTTATAAACGCGATAGTAATTCCTTACAATAGACGGTAGGCCTTTGAAAAAGTTATAATATTTCCCAATTAGTCTAATTTCGTTTGAACTTGACAAGTTTACAGTAACCGTTCTCGTTACATACATTTGAACTTTGAATAAGCAGGTCAAAACATTTAGGAACAGTAATCAATTAAGAAAGTTCGAACAAATGATGTTAAATTTCTACTTCATGCGTAGGTTGACGGCCATGTTGCGTAATTGTATATATAATAAGTATATTTAGAAATTAAAGAAAAACTTTGCCATTGGAATTCGCCATCGTCACAAGAAGAAAATGAGTTAACCATTAAAAGTCAACTCATTTTCTTTTTGTCGAAGGGACGAAAATGAGTTGACGATTAAAAGCATGAAGAAATCTTCATAATTTATCGAGAGGTCTCGATCCCAACAAATGTTCCGCTATAGCGGAATAGATATCATTACATAGTATAAAACAAAGTCGCTGTCGCTGTCTGTCCGTCCCTATGTATGCTTAAATCTTTAAAACTACGCAACGGATTTTGTAGCTTTTTTTTTTATAGATACTATAGTTATTTATTTTTCTCCATATAATCATAAGGCATGTAAAATTCCATGTAAAAATACAGATTTGTGGAGAACTGGTGCCTGTACCAGGTATTCGAAGAACCTGTCACGGGTCACCAGGATTCTGGAGGAAGGTTTATATGTATAATACATGTACACCCGGGCGAAGAACTAGTATATTATATATATTCATATAAATTTTAGAATAGATTGATATGACAGCCTCGGTGGTCTAGTGGTTTAGCACACCGCTTTACTATCCGATAGTCGTAGGTTCGATTCCTCGCACGGCACAAACATTTGATTGTTTGTATCGGTCTGGGTGTTTTCTAAGTATAATATGTATCTATTTACTAAAAATATCTATGTATCTATGTATTTATAGCAGTTGTCTAGTACCCATAACACAAGCTCTGCTTAGCTTGGGACTAGATGGCGCTGTGTGAATTGTCCTGAGATATTTTATATATATAGATATGTAGATAGATATAACTTTTATTTCCGTAAGACACAGTAATGTTAACAAAGTATGTAGATACACAATTACATTGGTCAGTAAACAAAAACTGAAAACAAGTGAGTATATATATGTGTGAATCACATATACGCATAATTAAAATTCCTGGAATCCAGTGATTGGTTTAATTACACAAAATCAAAAAACGCGTTCAGAAAATTTATTAAGTGTACATCAATATTGTGAGTATAGTTTGCCGAGATGATACAGAGTGAGTTTTAATGGTAGCAAAAAACGAAGATGTGTGAAGGTAGACGAAAATGCGAAAAGACGAAAATTTTTACCATCTTTTGACGACCTCGATGGTCTAGCGGTCTAGCACACCGCTTTATGACCGATGGTCGCGGGTTCGATTCCTCGCACGGCACAAACATTTGTATTCACGAGTATGATTGTTTGTATCGGTATGTTTTTAAATATATATGTATATGTATCAGTTGTCTAGTACCATAACACAAGCTTTAGCTAGCTAAACTGGGGTCTAGATGGCGCTGTATAAATTGTCCTGAGATTATTATTATTATTATTATTATCATCTACCCGCTGCTCTTCAGTTTACCCGTGATGATTGCGGTCGAAACACTGCCGAAATACCTCAATAAGAATAAATAAAACGTGGTAAGATCCCGTGATTTTTCCTAATGGTATATAACATATATTTATTAGAGATTCTTTGAGGAGAAAATAATATAATGAAACATCAGTATCTCGAGGCTTAATAGTATATATTCATATAAACAATAATAGGATGAAACTATAAAAAAATTGTGAAAGACAACGTCTAACTCTAGCTAGACAAATATTAATCTAAGGAATTAATAATTTACAAAATGTAATCCTAACCAAAATCCAATAATAATATTCATGAAGCTGAGAAACATTTAACAAAAGACAGAGTTGAATTTTGATTATGTACACAGTGAGCGCGGTCACGTGATCGTCTTAGTTTTTTTTGTTTAGTTAGTATATAAAATATAAAAAAAATATTTCTAGACTACTTTTAATTTATAAATTTTATTTATTATTTTGCGTTTATTTTTCTAAAATAAAAGTAACTTAAGTTACTCCTTATTAAATCAGTTACCTGCCAAAAAAAGTCCCGTCAAAATCGGTCCAGCCTTTTCAGAGATTCAGAGAGTAAAAAATGTTATTTTGATATATGTACCGTATTATTTTATATATATTCATGTGCATGTAGCAAAAAACGGTTATATCAATATTACAAACAGACACTCCAATTTATATGTAATATATATATGTATATATAATATAATAATATTTATATGTATAGATAATTCAACGCGTTCTAAGTCACATGTTTTTTTATTGAAGGAATTGGGTATTAAAGTCTGTAGCACTACGACCTACATCGATCTATTGTGCTCGCCCTTTTTGAAAGTTCTCTACGTAGGCCCGTCAGGGACAAGAACTGAAGGATATTCATAGGAGCGATGGTTTTTATCTCCTCAGGATAGAGTGTATACTTTCCAAAGGAGATATTTCGCTTCTACATGAGTGGGCTGTAACCACGTGACACGTGTAACTGTTACTTGATTATAGTATTAATTTATTTACCTGGTATTGCATATACTATGGTAAAACTGAAAGTTCCAAACTGCTTTCTTCTCTCCGGACTCGGCCATTCTTCTGTGCAGAAATGTACGTCTCTAGTTTCTATCTGAAATAACACATACATCTTATTAATAATTTCATTACATAGTATAAAACAAAGTCGCTGTCGCTGTCTGTCCGTCTCTATGTATGCTTAAATCTTTAAAACTACGCAACGGATTTTGAAGCGGTTTTTTTAAGTAGATAGAGTGATTCAAGAGGAAGGTTTATATATATAATACATGTATACCTGTGCGAAGCCGGGGCGAGTAGCTCGTAATATTATAAATGCGAAAGTTAGCGAGTATAGATGAATGTTTGTTACTCTTTCACGCAAAAATTACTGAACCGATTTTGATTAAAATTTACAGTAATATAGCTTATACATCAGAATAACATATAGACTCTAAATCTGACGCAAGTAAACAACGGGCATAGCTAATATTATAAATGTGCATATTATTATTTGTATTACAATTTGAAAATGTAGACACATTTAAATATTTAGGTAGGTTGATTACCAGTCACTCCAGATGTACTAAGGACTTTAATATGAGAATAGCTATAGCGAAAAGAGCATTTAATGATAAAAAACAACTTCTGAGAGCTAATATATCAAAGTCCTCTCGGAAACGACTTATCAAGACCTACATCTGGAGTATAGCCTTGTATGCCTGTGAGACGTGGACATTGACACAAAAGGAAAGAGACAAACTGGAAGCCTTTGAAATGTGGTGTTGGAGAAGGATGGGAAGAATTAGCTGGAAAGATAAAATAAGGAATGAAGAAGTGCTTGAGAGAATTAAAGAAAAGAGACAGATCATAGATATTATTGAGAATAGGCAGGGGAAAATGTTGGGGCACTTGATACGAAAACTAAAATTGATATGTAAAAATTTTTACGTCCATAAGTGGCTAAAATGTTCTACACGAATAAATGATTGTTGAATTTTGAATTTTGAGAACATAATGAATCCAATGCCATGGAAACAGCCATTAGGCCAACATACGTAACACGTACATAACATACAGCGTAAGTTCTTAATATAATAATATTATATTATAATCCACATAAGTCTAATATAACCGTATAAAGCTAAGGCAGGTCATTACTTATACAGGGTGCCCTATTAAGAGGTTACAATTATTTATGACTCCTACTTTGTTTTCGTTATAAATTTGACAGTTTAGATTACTGTCAAATTTCTACACGTGTAGACATGACATCTATATATATAAAAATTACATGTCACGTTGTTTGTCTGCTATGGGAGTCCATAGCAGACAAACAACGTGACATATAATTTTTAAACTACTGAACAAATTGCAAATTTGATTTGCACATCGTGTGCAAGTTGATCCAACTTGAAAAATAGGATAGCTTACGACTCAACGCAGACCACAGCAACGCGTGGCCCGGTCTGCTAGTGACTATTATATGCTTGAGAAATATAATTTTATATATTTCTTAAGACGATTTATGCGAATCAAACTACTGTTTAGGAAATTGATGATCATTTTCGCTGTACAAACTCATTTTACCCTAACTTCGAGAATAACACGGACTTATTGGGTTAATAAATTTGAGAAGAATGGTATTGTAACATATAAAACAGTTCCTTAATCAAAACTTAGTCCATTGTTTTTTACATGCTCCTAAAGAGAAGCTAGGAAAAATGAATGCTATACAGGGGTAGTGAAGTTCAAAATTGTCTGCCATGCAACAAAAAGTAATCTATTGTATATACATACATTAAAAATCTTTATACATATTTATACAATAAATATTTTACGAGTTAATAAAAAGAAATCTGTTATATCTTCAAACATGTACATATATCAAAACTTATTGATATAAATAAATAAAACTATTTGATTAGCTATTTTCTGCTAGCTTAAATCTTTAAAACTACGCAACGGATTTAGAAGTGATTTTTTTTATTAGATAGAGTGATTCAAGAGGTAGGTTTATATGTATAATACATGTACACTCGGGTGTTTAGAAATAGTTTAGAAATAAATAAAACTATTTATTTACCAATTTTTGCAGCAACCTGTATATATAATCAAATTATTTATTAATTTTCGTCTACGACTTGAATAGAGCGGCTATTGGTTTCTAAAATTAGTCGTATATAGCATAATGAGATGTATATATAAATAACTTAGGTTTGAAGAAGCTATATCTCCGGTGGGCCGGGTCATTGGGCTCCCTAAAATATGGTCGAGCGCAGTGATAGCTGGCTCATCCGTTATACTCGTGAACGAGTGCTGCTTGTAGGGACTGATCTGCTCTTATCACTACGACTGATTTAATCTTATTGTATATTTATATTTGACCCAAAAAATTAGTGCGGCTTGGTAGTTTGTATTCGACTTGTAAATGTAAACTTACAAGGATTATTTAAAAGAGCAACACACAAGTTTCTTGCTTAGTCTTCTTGTGATGAGACAGCTTTCCGAATGAGCGGTAGATTTAAAAAACAATGTAGACTATTCAAAAGTGCTTAAGTTAAGTTTATTTGAATAAATGATTTTCTATTCTATTCTATTTAATATTAAAAATATTGAAGCACAAAAAAAAAAACAAATGACAATCGTAATCATTAGAACACAGCGTCCTATATATATATATTTAAATATTATGAAGTAAATAATTAAGAAGGTATTAATAACTATTTTTGTTGGAGTTTCCAACATATACTACTAGCTACCTCGGCTTCGCATGGACGCATTAAAATCTTTGAATTTCTCGGCGTATTCTATACGCACGTACCATATTATACATATAAACCTAGCTTAAAAGATATAAGCGAACAGACAGCAGCGGGTATAGCTATATCTAAATAATATAAATAAAATTGGAGTGTTTGTTTGTAATGTTGAAATAACCGTTTTTTACTATATGCATATGAATATAAATACGGTACACACATCAAAATAATTTTTTTTGTCTGTCTGGCGGTCTGTCTGTTTGTTCCGACTAATCTCTGAAATGGTTGGACAGATTTTGACGGGACTTTTTTGGCAGGTAGCTGATTTATTAAGGAGTAACTTAGGCTACTTTACTTTATTTTAGTAAAATAAAGTAGCAAGTAGACATATAAATTCATGAAGGAAGACTACTGGCCGGTGTTTCAAGAGGATGGTTTATATATATAATACAGTACTATAGTAATACAGTACACCCGCGCAAAGCCGGGGTGTGTAGCTAGTACGACATAAAAATGATATATCAGATAACAATCGCGTTCAATAAAATCAGTTCTACGAATAAAATATTCGAAGTATTTGATCTAAAAATTGAATAACAGCAATCTCAAATTACATTTATTATGTTACCCTCGATATTCACAAATATTTTACAGCGGATAAAAAAAAGTTAGGTTTCCAATCGATCTCAGAAAGGATTAAATTCTGTTGTATTTAAATGATACACCTATCCGCCCCGGCTTCGCACGGGTATACGTGTATTGTACATGTAATATAATTTTTGTGGAATCACCTTCCATATTTCCGAACCGATACGATATTGACACCTTCAAGAAAAGAGCTTATTCCTTTTTAAAAGGCCGACAACGTACTTGCAATTCCCCTGGTTTTGCGGGTGCTCATGGGCGGCAGTAATCACTTACCATCAGGTGAGCCGCATGCATGTTTGTCCCATGCGTTATAAAAAAAAATGTAAACCTTGCTCTTGTATCAGTCTATCTATTGGTGAAGACTGCATTACAATCCGTTGCGAAGTTTTAAAGATTTAAATATACATAGGGACGGACAGAAGGCGACAGTGACTTTGTTTTATACTATGCAAGTATATATATATTTTTTGTAATTGTTGCAATGTTTAAGTTTTTTTAACATCTACTGAATAAATTTCATTTCAGTTCATTCACTCATTTCGTTCATTTTCTTTAATTTCGTTATATTCGATCATTTCATTCATTTCATTAATTCATTCACTTCATTCACTTCGTTCGTAAAAGAATCGTGAAGAGAGTGAAGAGAGTGATGAGAGTGAAGAGAGTGAAGAGAGTGAAGAGAGTGAAGAGAGTGAAGAGAGTGAAGAGAATGAAGAGAATGAAGTGAGTGAAGTGGTGGAATGGAAGAAATTGATTAAATGGCTGTAATGGATTAATGGATGAAATGGATTAAATGAATGAAATCGATGACTGGCTGTCGCCTCGGAATGCCGACCGTCTGAGATGGTGCTCCAGACTGGTTGGGATAAAACCGTTCACCGATATAACGATTGGAATGATTTCGGTGGACACCATCCCCCACATTTCGGCCACCTCGTGAGCCAGATCGAGATATTTTCTCTTTTTCTCAGTTTCGGCTTTCACGAGCTTCTCGTCATGCGGTATGGTGATGTCCACCAAAAACACCCTCGAGAGTGCCCGATCCATCACCATGATATCAGGTTTGTTCGCAAGAACGGTCCTGTCCGTGATGATGGATCGGTCCCAGTAGAGCCTGACGCTGTCGCTTTCGAGGACCGGCTGGGGCTCGTACTTATTATTATTATTATTATTTGATGGGGTAATAGACTGATCATTGCGGGTAAAAATCACCAAACAATGACAGCATAAATTATGAATGATGAGGATGGATAATTTTTAAGTGGAAGACAAAAATTTGCGGACTGTTCTACAAGTGTTTAATATTACAGCTTTTTGGAGAAGGATGAAAGTAAGTGGGTGAAGTTGTAATATCTTGAGGCTAGTGTGTAGGGATGCTGGGATGACACCTGTGGACGAGATAATAATTGGGAGAGTTTTCACTGTTTCTACCTGCCATTGTATTTTTAGTTCTATTGCTAGATCAGTATACTTAGTAATTTTTTCTGTATGTGTTGATAGAAGATTATGTGTATTTGGTATTGCAATATCTATAAGGTAAACTATTTTACTTTTCTTATCATGTAGCGTCATATCTGGTCTATTGTGATGTACAGTTTTGTCTGTTATTATAGTCCTGTCCCAATACAACCTGTAACCGGGAGAGTCGAGTACTATCTGCGAGGTGTATTTATAGTAGGCTAATTTTTATTATTATTTTTTTTTT